CAAATTTAGCTGTTTGCCAACAAGTTTAACATAGCGACTAACGGCCAGGGTCCACCGGGCACGTCAGCGGCGCGACATGTGTGCAGCACGAGTCCCATAGCAGCTCGCCCCCGTGTTAATCAATTACAGCAGCTCCACCGGCAACGGGAGCGGTGCGACAACCCCCGTCTGCCGCGCGACAACTCTCTATTTTAGGCGGCTCTTCTATTTTTCTCGTGCTACGCTCCCCTACGCGACCCTCCAGCAGATAAAAACTACATGAAATAGTGTGCTAAACGAGCACAATGTGTTTTTAAATGAATAAACCATTATCAGAGGCGATATGTGATGATTTTTTTTCATGCATTTACCCATGTTTACCTGTGACATTGTGTAAATGTCCGTGGCGGACATTTGAAAGTGAGTAGATGACAAACAGTACAGTAAACTAGATAGATAACTCAAATATATGTAGGCTTAATAACTTAGGTGGAAAATGCTTTAACATTTCATGCAGCCTACATGCAGCCTCTCGGCTTGGCAAATGGTAAACAACCCCACTGGCTTCTCTACGTGTCGCTTCCGTACGCAGTCAGTGGGGCCCAAATGAATACGCCACAATGCTACGCTGACATGACGCTTACGTTTGCAGCCGGTGGAGCCCGGCTGTTAGAATATGATAATATGTTGGTGTTGTATTTACATTTTTTTCTGCTGCCCCCAAGTGGCCAAAAATGTGTTAATGCAGGTTAGCTTTAGGGATGTTAAAATCATCGCCACGCTGCCTGATATAATGCTTTATTATATGTATATTCTATCAGCTTATATCAGCTTGTTCCAGCTCCTCCCGGAACCTATAGTAGGCTGTAAGATGTGCACACCAATTTAAACGGTCAAACCTGAGACTCCGTCTTTATTATGGCTGCACAATACTAACTCCCCTAAGAGATTTAAGCATCAAACATTTAATTTTCTGCATTCTGGTGAAATTTTACACATCAATTTGTGGAAGAAGTGTCACCTAACCATGCAGAGTTGCTTCATTTACCTTCTGTTGGCAGATGCAGCATACAGCTACTACCTACTTTACCAGAGACATTGTTACATCTATGAGTCATGCCCTAGCAGTTCATAGCAGATCACTGAAATCCAGTGAGTGGCTGCACAGCATGAGTGTGTCTGACCCACCAGTAAGCTTGTAGGGTTGAAGAGGTTAAACTCAAGATGATAGCTTACATGTCAGTGAAAACATATTGCCATCGCTGTCAGTGACTCCTCTGGCCTGATCTACAGTAACAAACAATCAACAGCAAAACAATTAACATCCCATAACTCAGTGTGAGTTTTATGTTCATTGTGCGCCACTCCCTTCTCATTCCGCCTTTTTACAGCACCCTCCAGAAATGACACAAATGTCTACGGGGAGACATGAAGAAGGAGGCAAACAGAAAACAGCGCAGTCATCCAGTATCTCAGAACACGGCTTTAATCAGAAACAGAGAGACAATAACTTTGAAATGTCCCCACTCACATTCATCTGCTCTGACATGTTTAGGGACACTGATGATAAAGGCTTAATGCAAAAAACATGTCAGAAAGATCCCTGAGGGTTTAAAGAGAAATAACAAGTTTCAGCATCTATAGAAAAAGATCATGGTAGTATTAACACTCTATAGAAAATGTGGGGGTTCACGTTATTCACTGGTTTTACTGTCCCATTGAGCTTTTTCACAAGCAAAGCAGTGTTATAGATCACATTCCTGCAGAGACACAAAGAGAGTGCAGTGATGCTTTGATTAGCCACACAAGACAACGCAGGGGTCAACACACCAGAACAAGCCTCCCAGTTTCACCTCCCTGCCTTCAGCCTCTCCCTCTATACAGCTCCTCTTATTAATGCCCCTTCCGGGCTTCTTGCAAATCCCATCAGTCTGTTTGTCTGGATCTCGCTCTGCGGCTTTTCCGGATCTTGAGAAAAGAAGGAATTGAGAAGGAGAGAGAGAGAGAGAGAGAGAGAGAGGAGGGCTGGAGTCACTCTCCCAGAGCGTGGATCCAGGATTAGAGGAAAAAGAGCAAATACTATGGAGCGTATAGAGGGAGGCAGCCGTGAGGGTTAAGACGCCAAACAATAGAAATTAATTAGAACTCCCTCAGTGGAGCATTGCTCTGCTGATTAAGGATTGGAGGATTATTGGATAAGCATGTGAAATACTGTTTTTGTGTATGGCGGGGCCTCCTTCACTATTATATCTCTCTACATGTTGAAAGCATGGATGTAAACTTTACACTGCAAAAACAAATTTGCCACTTCGAGACACAAGTCTGCTTGGTGGCATATTTGAAACAGAACTCAATACAAAAGGTTTATTAACCACTTTAAACCCATTTTCCCCTCTTATGTTTCCTCTTAGGTGTCTTTAAGGCTGAAAAATTATCTTATTCCACATTGTCTGACAGTAATCAATTAACTTTTAAAAAATGTATCAACTAATTTTTTTCATTTATCAACTTAATTATCAAACAAAAACTCAACTTTTCTTAAATCTGATCAACAGATTAATCAGAGATAAAAATATTTATAGGTGGTTGCTTTAATGATTTTGTATCAGCTTGTTCAGGGTCTTCAAGCAATATGATGTTTATCTACTACTGCATTTGTAATCTCTGCAAACAGATATCTGCATATGGTAAAATGGTAAATGAACTGCGCCTTACTAGTCTTCCGACTACTTAAAGTGCTTTTACACAACGTCACATTCACACACTGGTGGCAGAGGCTACAATACAGGGTGCCACCTGCTACTCAGTAACCATTCACATGCACTCACACACCGAGGGAACAGCCATCGGGAGCAATTTAAGGGCCAGTATCTTGCCCAAGGATACTTTGACATGCGGACTTAAGGAGCCAGGGATCTAACCACCAATCTTCCAATTGGTGTACAACCCACTCTACCTCTGAGCCACAGCTGCCCAATATGTGTGCAGAATCTGTAGGCAACAGGACAAGATGATGGTATCAGTAGTGTTCTGGTTTCTGTTTGTAGTCTCAGTAGTACTGACCAATCATATTTGAACAGAAGGTAAAGAGTCTGTGTGGAGACGCAGGACATTTTTGCCGAAATGCATTCTCAGAACCCATCAGTTATTGTCTGACCACGGTTAGCTTCATGTTAGCCTTTTTTATCTGAATTTGATCTGCATTCATATACAGATATGTGTTTGTAGAGATTAGCTGAAATGGCCGGTGCACACAAGACCGAAATACCAGCCTCTGCCCCCAGAGGCTTGTCATTGTAAGACGATAGCCGATGGATTCCAAGACTGATGAATTTGTGAAAAAGGATGTATAAACCAGCAACAGACGGAGCTCTGCTAAATCTGATAAATTGCCTGCAGTGATGTCACTTGAGTCAGCGTCAGTTGGTGCCGAGAAGTTCGAAATAAACAAATCTGAGGGTGTGCTGATAGAAAGAGGTGAAGTTGCCAGACCTCTATAGCTCGCTCCTTATCTCTGCTCCAGGCTGTATTAGCATAACACACTCAAATCTTTGACTTAACTATTGGGAGTCAAGTTGCATTGTGGATAATGTAGTCATCAGGTTTTGACAAGGAAGCAAAACGTGAAAAATATCAAAATCTCAGGATCTGCTGCATTGATTTTGATGTTTTTTTTAAAGATGTTATGAGTCTGACAGTTTTAGGAATGCGGCTCTAGTCTGTGGACTGCTCCTTTAAGGGATACTAGTTCTTTAACTGTGGTAAAATTCCCATCAGGAAACCATGTTTACAAATGTTCTTCTGTCTGTTTATTCTATCTGTTCTTTCTTCTGAGCTCAAACAGGATCTTATTGTTTATTTGAAAAGCAACTCACATTGTGTAACTCACAATTTTAGGTAAAAACTGATACTCTGTAATCATGATTTGAAATTGACAGTATCATAAATGAAAGAGAAGTAGACTTTGTGTTTTTGTGCAGATGCCTTCAGTGTTTAAAGATGGGGAGGCCTATAACACAGTTGGCTCAGTGTCAGGGTGGCTGACTGGATGAGTGAAGAGGAGATAGAGACTCTCGCCTCAGGGTCAAAAGATCAGAGAGACAAAACAGCAAAGAGGCACAAGCTAAAAGAGACAGAGGGCTGGAAACTCAAGGCCAAGGTCTCTCTCTCTATCTCACGCACGCACACACACACACACACACACACACAGGTGTCTGGGAGGGAAAAGGCTCTGTGAAGCTGTGTTGTAGTTCCTCCCTTCAGGCAGGCTCATGATGAGAGGGTGAATAATCTGAGAGACATGGACAACAGAAATGTGCAGCATTCATCATGAATGATAACAAACAGGAAGTTGGACATGAATGAAAAGACTGAAAACTCAACAGTAAAGGCTCAGTGTGTTCCCAGGACAACGTTACCCCTCATTAATCCCAAGATTTTTTGATTACCCCTTTACTGCTCTATCTGTGTAAACCATTTCAACAGCTCCATATCACTGCAACAACAACAACCCTTACATTTTACCATGTTTGAGCCAGTATACATTCATTTCAGCATCATATTATCATATCATATTATCTGGGGGTGTTTCATTTTGGGACTCGTGCACACAAAGCTGCATGGTTGCAAACAACCCAGACAACAAAAACCTTAGATTTTCTGATGTAAAGTTGAGTTTCAATTCACTTTTCATTTTGAAGATTTTGCTTGTAAAATCTAATTGTAATGCTTAATTTAAAATAATGTGAAAACATACAGATTTGGCACTATGATATTATGATGTTTTGCTTTGCACGTTTGCATTTAAGGTACTAAGAGAATTCAAAGTTATTTCAATTTATCTGAACATATTTTAAGACTCAAAAAATTTCAACAGTTCAGCTGCTGACCAACACACCTTGTTCACATGGGCGACTTTTTGCAGTGTGCACCTAACGGGAGAAAACTTCCACACTCTCCACGCCCCTAAAATCTGTACGGAGGCGGGGGTGAGTCCAGTTTCTGAACACACGTACAAACACTCCTCCAGGGCGCACGGAGGACGCGCGTAAAAGCAACCGAGCTGCTCCATTTCAACAGTGAACCACAGCGTTGAACTCCTCCGGAGTTGTAAAGTTTGGACTCTCCTTCCTTTTCTATGTGCGACTCTTTGTTTTGAACCAGGTGCATCGGAGGGTTTTATCCTCTGTAGAGAACCGGAGGTGTGTTTCCTATGATGCTCGGATATCTCAGGAGTATTTGCTCCACGCTTTGGATACATAATGTGAGGATTTGTGTCGGAATCAATAAGGACGCTGCGTAAAGGAAAAGCCGATCTCCCCAGTGTGACCAGTGAAGCTTGTTTCAGTCCCCCCAGAGAGCGGAATGGGGCCGTCATCTACACTGCTGCTCGTTGCTTTTCTGGGTAAGAAACTTTTCCATGAATTGACTTTGATCCACGAAGTGCAGCAAGTGTGGAGGTCTGAGTGGAAACATGTTTGACTCCACGTGTGCATGCAAAACACAGTGCGTAAACAGCCTGTTATAGAAGCGCTGCTGCACAAACCATAAAGAAGGATGACATCATCCATATTATTAATGCATTTTTAGAAAGTGCAGTGGATTTTAAAATGTTAACTACTTCTTCTGTAAAGCATAAATGCCAGATAGGAACCTGACATGCCCCTCTTCACCTCTACACACCTGTTTACCGTCATGGCTGTGTGTTTGTGTCCAACAGGACTAATAGTAATAATATTTTCCGGCTAAGTTATCCCTTATGCCACAGTGATGAACATGTTTGAAGGCTAAAAGGCAATAAAAGGCTTCCCCCAGGGCTGCAGGGCAGATGAAAGCACGGGGAGTTAAGAGCCACTTAAAACATCCATTCCTGATGAAAACCCTGTCTGAGCAGCAGAGGATTATGGGACTGCAGTTGACCCAATCCATCTGCTGGCAGTGACAGTGGAAGGCAATATTTGGCTGCAACTTCAAATGACTGGGTTGAGATAAAACGATATTTTTGAGTCCACTTATCCTTAAGTGTGTTTAAGTGAATGTAACATTCAATTAAGTGGTGTGTTATTGCAGCCTTTCCTAGTGGCAATGAAAATGCACTGTCAGCCTAGATTAGTGTGCGCAGTAAATTTACAGGGGGAGAGAGAAAAAACCTCGGTGAGAATTTAGGAGAGTCAAATAGCAAAGTTTATGAAAGACAGGAAGAAACATGGAGCAGCAGCTGTAGGTCACCTTTTTACTCATATGAGACTTCTGCTGGGCCTCGATGGGGCCTGTAAGTTTTATTACATAAGTAAATATTCAGCATTTTACAAACTGTTTGCTCAACTAATATCCTATCTCACAGATTTTTATGTTCATCTTGATGTTAGATTGATAAAAAGTGAAGATATGTGTAAGTTGCTCTCGAATTTTAGTCATTGCCAGTACATAAAGTAGACAAAATGTTAAATTATATAAACAACAATTAAAAAACAACACCATTTAATCATTGTTATCACAAGTATAAACTAGAACTTGACCGATATCTTATGTCTGAGGCTGAAACCGATATTGGTAGAGCTCTGATATGGACTGAGTAGTGTTGTCAAAAGTATTGATTGATCCATACATATCAATTCTGAATATTTGAAACAGATTCAATACTCATTTTCAGCAGCATCGATACACCAGGATCAGTAGTTCTTTCTTGCTCTCATTGTTAACGTTTACCACAGTCAGTCTGACGTTCTCTGCTACTAAACAAGAAAGGGAAAGTTGTCGTCTTCATCTTATAGCCTTGTTATATTTATCTTTTAATAAAAAATTTAAATTGTATGCCCTCAAAATCAGTCTTCCTCAACGGTATTAAATATTGATATTTTTCAAGGTACTGTATAAAAGTTAGAAATTCTGATATCGTAACAGTCCTAGTACTGAGGACTGATATTTGACAGTTAAATAATTAAACTTGACTAAGATCACATTCAATTTTAACAAGTAAGCTTCACGGGAAATTTGGTTAATTAGTCATTATCAATAAATGTTTTTAATGTCCATTAACACATACAAATACAGGAAAATGTACTATATGAAGAAAAAGTTTAATGCACCATGTATCATGTGTATATTCAGCCATATGTTTTGTTGATTTGTTGCATATATTTAACTAACAAAACACAAAATTTAATGTTAATGGATTTGCTACTGTGCGGGTCAGATTTTTTTAAATGGGCATATAAAAGCGTCTTAACAAAAGAAATACTACACTGCCACTTTAAGGCGATATCGGCTGATGACATCAGCCTGCTAATACATCAGTCTCGCTCTAATACTAACACTGCCACAGCTGAGGTCTTGTTAGGCTGAGCGACACTTACCATCATGTTTCAGTGTGATCAATACTGTGATGTTTGAGTTTTCAAAGCAACACGAGACAACTAACATAACTCCAAGTAGTAAGTGCTGCAGGTTTAATTGCAGAGGCATCAGCATGGAAATAAGCAAAATAACATCATATCAAAGGAACAAGAAAGATTCCTAGAAATCATGTCAAGATAAGTTTGACAAACGGAGACAAACTGCAGCAGCACAAAGAAAATGTGGTCACAAGTTCAAATAAACCAACAGGGGGAAGACAGAGGAAAGACAGATGGAGGGGATACAAATGATGCTAATCGTCAGGCAGCCCAGCGTGTCCCACTTCTGTCTCCGCAGTGTCTCAGTGGTGATTCATTCAGTCGGGAAGGAAGACGTCAAAATCGTTTTGAGAATAGCAGCACAGCGCCAGGAGAATATTCTTCAGTCCTGCAGGACAAGTGCTGATAGTGAAGAATGAACCTTTGACAAAATGATCTCACCTCCAGGTCCATTTAGTAGCTGCTCTTGGACCTTCAGTCGTGTCACATGATCTTCATCAACAGCTTGAGTTTGTCACGGAATTGAAGCTCAAATTCCCATTTTTTTCTGACCACTCTATAGCTCCAGAAAAGCTACTAAATGCACTTTGAGATGAGACTGAATGGGCCCTGTTAGTGTACACTGCATTTTAGTTAATGTGGAATGTTACTTGTGTCATGAAACGTAAACAAGAATTATTTTCTCAGAGTTTTTTGAAGGTTAATATGATTTTTAGATGGATGGATGGATGGATGGATGGATGTTTGGATGTTTGATGGATTGCAATGAAATTCTGTGAAGACATTCATGATCCCCAGAGGATGAATCAACTGACTTTGGTGATACAACTTTACCTCTTGTGCCACCATGACGTTGACATTTTTGGCTTTTAGTAATGACATGACATGACATTTTGTAGAGCCATTCGTGGTTACCAAATGAGATTCCTCTAGCACCACCATGAGGTTGGCATTTTTTACTTTTAATAAACTGTCTTCTAACAGTTGAATAAATTGCCATGACATTAATATCCCCCTCGGGATGAAATCATCATCGGATCAAAAATTTTTTCTAATCTTTGGAACATCCTGATGACCTGAGCTCAACAATCACACTCTTGTTCTTGTTTAAGTGTGATCATTGACACTTTCTGCAATAAGTTCACTTAGTGCTGTGTTTACTCTACGAGGGAGCGGGAAAGGCCATTACTGTTCTGCAAGCTGCAGCCTGCATTTTACCTCATCAACTACAACACAGTCCCTGATTGGCTGCTTACATTGTCAGTTGTGGTGGGGATCCCTGATTGGCCCTGATTGGATTTTAATTTCTGGAAAGTGTTTTTGGGAGGCGGCAGAGCTAGAGCTAGAGACAGAGAACGAAACAGAATGTTGAGCTCATGTCATCAGGATGCTTTTACCAGGCTAGCTGACGTTAGCATCATTTAGCATTAACATGCCACAAATACTATAGCCCACAGACTGTATAATAAAGATGAACGACATGACAGCTCCCCAAACATGGAGCCAAAACATCTCAATCGCCCCCCTGTGGCCGGCTGCAGTGCAGGTCATAAACCCGCCCCCTCCATATTAGTGGATTGGACATGGGCCAAACTAAAAGATTGTTCCTCACACTCCTGACTGTCCTCAGAGATTTATATTGTTGCATGTTAGTATGCTGATGTTAGCATTTAGCCACTAGCATGGCTGTAGACCCTTGTTACTAACAGAAACAACATTTTATGACTTCACTTAGAGCTAAATGTACATTTCTAATCTGCATAAAGAGACTTGTACCTAGAGTTGTCAGATAAATGTGTGTTGGATAACAGAAAGTACAATATTTCCCATTTCCAAAATAAAAAATGCTCAAGCACCACTATTTCTTTAAAATTGTACCACTGTACTTTGTGACTTTAAAGTCAAAATCCCTAAATGTTGTGTTATTTCCTCCATTCCCTTCAACTTCGTCATGGTCGCTGCCAAATGCTAAGATAACACAAAGAACAGTCCTTTGTCTGGTCTCTGCTCTGGCACTTCTGGACTTTTTTCTTCCCATAAACGATGTGGAGTCTCTCTGCTTGTCAGGGGTCCCAGTGCTGTTACCTCACTGGTGGGCTCAGGCCAACTGGAAATGTTCTCTGTGGTTTGGGGCTCTGGGAGTTTTGTGGGCGCTTTGATTTAGATAGAGAGCAGCAGTTTGGGAAAGCAGCAGCAGCGAGGGACCAAAGAGGGTTTGAGTCCAGTCGGTCTGATTATTTGCCTTAATGTGGGGAAAGCTTTTTTTTAAAATTTTTTTTTATTCAAGACAGCTATTGGAAGAAACTCCCACCACTCACACATTCAACACTCGTTAAATAAGAATAGAAAGAGTTGTATGACGCTTCCTCTTAAAAAGTAATTTTACAAACAGGCTACACACATAACCTCTTTTTAATCATTTCCTCATTTGTTTCCCCATAAGCCTGTTTTCCATTGTGAGCTCTCATTTTTGATGTAATAAAACTCTTTGTAAAAAAGATTTGTAACTGTGTTTAGAATTACTCCAAAAAAGCGTGTGCTTCATTATAATTATGATATTTTCACAAAGCCACAAATAAACCTTAAACAAGTCTGACGAGCTGACTCTGGATCAGGTTTGTTGCTGCTGCATAGTTTAACATCAAATCACAGAGTTTAACATCAGATACAGAAACATTAACAGTTTGTTTCCAACATCTGTTACCAAAAACAGCTAAATAAGATCCATACTAGATGTTCTTTTTATTTGATGCAAGTTATTCACAGATCAGAGTATAAATCAGCTCTCCTTTTTTAACATTACATGTGTTTTTAACTGAGGAAAAAGTGAGGTCCCCAATTTGTTTGGAAGCTGGGAAGGAAACTAAGATATTGTGGATACTGGAGCAATACATTAATTCAGTATCTCCGTTGGGGAGGGCATACATTACCCAGAATCCCTAGAAAGCGCAGCAGAATGTAAGCAGAGGATTCACCATCCTATGATCAGCATCTTTCTGTGTTTACAACATTTACATAAATTCTTGCAGAGCTGAGTAGATTTTGTCAGCCCTGCTGGGTTGCTGGGAATCCTCTGTCAAAAATCATCATCATCATTTTATAAAATAATCAGATTTGCCCTTTTTTATTGACTATATTCAGTTTTTGGTGTTGTGTGTAAGGCTGATGGGATTTAAAATAGGCTCTTTATGAAGATAAATAATCCATTAAATAGACATTATGGTGAGATTGTTTGCTCAGAGAGTAACAATTTGTAAATATACAGTATATATCAAACCCACTTACTAGTTCTTCCCAGCATTTTCAACCACAGCTCATCTTTGAACAACTGTAATGTAGTTGATGCCTTTTAACAAAAGACTACTTACTACCAATGAGCTGTCTCCATAACAAGCAATCAAACTTTTGGTAATCAATGGTAATCCTTACCCCCAAATTCTCATAAATTATGAAATAATTATCCAGCATTTTTCATTATGCATTAATTGTTATCAATTATTTTGAAACGTTAGTCAAAGGAAAGGAAAACTCTTTTTTTACAGATGAAAAACTGAGCAATCCAGGTACCAGCCCACCAGCTGAAGCTTCAATGAATTGCTTAACATAGTTAATTGCTGCTCAGATGGCATTGGTTGTTAATTGAAAGGGCTTTAAATAACAATTATTTTCATTATAAATCAACCCAAGTATTAGCTTAGTTAAAGGGATAGCGCACCCAAAAATGAAAATTCAGCCATTATCTACTCACCCATATGCCGATGGAGGCTCAGGTGAAGTTTTAGAGTCCTCATAACACTTGCGGAGATCCAAGGGGAGAGGAGGTAGCAACCCAACTCCACCTAATGGAGGTTTATGGCACTGCATATTCAAACGTCCAAAAACACATAATTGAAACCACAAAATATCTCCATACTGCTCGTCCGTAGTGATCCAAGTATACTGAAGCCCCGACATAAAAAGTTGTTTGGAAAAACATCATTTGAACTCTGTTTTTAGCCTCATTGTAGCTTTCGCTGGTCTCACGCACAAGCGCGCACACGTGAGTGAGGTGCACAGAGAGGCAGTTAGAGCTACAGGCCGTAAGCCTGCATTAGGTGGAGTTGTGTTGCTACCCCCTCTCCCCTTGGATCTCCGCAAGTGTTGTGAGGACTCTAAAACTTCACCTGAGCCTCCCTCGGCATATGGGTGAGTAGATAATGGCTGAATTTTCATTTTTGGGTGCACTATCCCTTTAAGCGACTAATTATTTAGGCCATAAAATATCAGAAAATAGTAAAAAGTGATGGGGCACACAAGGTGATGTCTTCAAATTGTTTTATATGCTGTCATAGAAGATGACAAAAAAACAGCAAATATGCACATTAGAGAGGCTCAATTCTTTGTATTTTTTACTTTACTATATTAATAAATTATCACTTTTTGGCTGATTTATTTTCTGTTGAAAGACTAATTTCATAAATCAACTCATCATTTCAGTTCTTAAAAGCATAAACAAGTATACGTGAGTTAGAGATACAGCTCTATAGCTGAAAGTGTCTTTGTACCGTCAATACTTTCCATTGAAGAAATACAGTTGTGTGTTTTCTGTGCATCTGTGCATGTATGCAGGGATATACTGGTGTTCTGAGCTAGAAAATATGTTGTGTGAGTGTTTCCTACCCTGAAGTTCACCTGCTATAAATCCGAGGCGCGGAAACCTCAGTGAGGTTAAAAGTGTGTTTGCATTAAACATCTCACCAGTTTCCTTTTAAAGTCACACACACAAACACTTAGTGCTAGTTTCTGCTCTCCTCATTGTGAAAACAAGCTGTTCGCAGCCACTCGGTGTCCAGGCTTACTGCAGGTGCAAAAAAAAAAGGCTTCACACACACACACACACACACACACACACACACACACACACACACACACACGCACACACACACACACACACACACACACACACACACACACACAGAGCAAACTGTGAAGCCTATTCTTTGATTTTTAACACAGCTCCTGCCAGCAGCGTTACTAATGCCACCAGCTGAGTCTGGGGATCAAGTCTCCCAACTGTCCAGTGTTTCCACTGAGCAGCGCTGTGATGTGGTGATTTACACACAAGCCTCGGCTAACACACATAAGAGCGGCCTCGCTGGGTGTCAAACAACTGGATGAAGCTTTGTTCTTCATAGAGCTTTCAGCGTCTTCTAATCAGATGTTTTTTTTGTTCCTCCCTTGGTGTTATTAGTCTCAAATTAAAAGCACAGAGGCAACCACAGCAGCATTCCAAGGCGTTAAATGATATTGCCAGGAAAGTCGGGTCCAAACTGAAAGAATTTAAGGCAAAGTCTTCATATTTCAAGGTAGATTTTGGTGATATTAGAGTATTACATGGAATAAATCCTCGCTGGAATGTGAGCTTCGTGGCTTTTCTTTGGCTGCAGGCTTTGAAAATGCTTTCATTTCCGATATTTTATCCCCTTAAGCTCAGCCTATTGTTGAAGGTATTGTTATTTCACGTGCTGCTTCGAGGGTACGCGGACAGGGTGGGAACTCTGAGCTTTCAAACTTGAGTGCTGCTCTTATCCTTTTCAACTTTGTTTGTAGCTTGATTTCAGAGTTGGTTTTAGTATTTGTTCAAGTCTGCTGTGGAAGCCACCCATCACTTCTTCAGCTTGGACATTGAAGTTTTGCCTTTTCATCACATGTTCAGCCAATATTAACCCATAAAGACTTCACTCATGACAGGTGTTGCAGGTCTCTGATAAAGCCCTGTAATCCCCGGGTGATGACATTAGTTAAAATGGCTACATAAAACCCTCTAAACACTTCAAAGAGGCCTGAGTGATTGAATAAGCAGAGTGAAAACATGAGAGAGAAACCAACAAGACAACGTCTTTCTCCAAGTGTTTTTGACTTTATCAGCTGCCTTAAAAGCAGTTGTGTCATTTATTAGGGTGTAAAGGACTAAAAGAAAAAGGATCTGCCAAACTAAACTCATTCTTAAGTGGTTTATTCAACATTTAAACCTCAATTTTTATCATGTATGTATTCAGGATTTCAGTATAATTCATAACACTACATTGATACTTGAAAATAAAGAAATAAAGAGACTAATATCCTCCAAATTTGATGTTTTAACAATAAAATCATTTCTCTCATGCCTAAAAGAAGACCAAGTAAATGAATAAAGGTAAAATCTCACCTGAATTGTGTCCTTATTGTTTCCATAGGCTGGGCCGAAGGTGGTTCCTCTCTTCACTACTCAGACGGACGGTCCAGCCGTCTCTCTCTCGAGAAGACCTTTGGCCGGTCGCTTAAAGACTCCCAGTGCCAACACATGCTGAAGCACCTTCACAATGGAGCCCGAATCACTGTGCAGATGCCTCCCAATGTCGAGGGTCACTGGGTGTCCACCAGGTAAACAACCATGGACTTCTGTTTTCTGTGCATCTTTTATGCAGGAAGGCAGGAAGTTTGGCAAACGAAATCCAATGCAGCTAGCCCCTATATGTTTAAGAATTTTAAGAATATGCTGTGAGGTTTTAGAGTGTTCATACTTTTCAAGCAACAGTAAAGCCTTATTTCCACGTCATGGTACAGGCAAGACTCAACTCTGCTTGCTTGCAAACGTTCGTCTTTTGGTACCACTTTGGTTGATGTTCCAAGCGAGCTGAGCCAATACTTTGAAGTTGGGAGTTTAAACCCTTCAGACCGCTGATTGCTCGAAGAGAATCGTCGCTAGCCCGACAAGGGACATCCTGCACAAACCCGCCATTTTTGAATAGCCAAGCTACTGTCATTAGCAGCTGCATTTTTTTTTATTCACTTGAGCTAGATTTTTTTTAAATGGCAGCCCACAAAACCACACCGTGGTCAGTTGACAAAGTGCAGACATTATCCTGTTTGATTGCAGATGAAAAGTTCCAGCGAGTGTTGAATAGAGAAACACGCATTGTGACACACTGAAGACGATGTCACGGCAGTTTCTATGACGATCAACTGAGAATCCCACCTTCATTGACGGGGTACTATCTGCAGTGGAAAACAAAATTGAGAAAAGTTCTGGTACCAAAAGTAAGTCAAGCAGAGTCGAGTTGAGCTGAACCATGCAGTGGTAATGACACAGAAGAAAATAAACTTACAGCTCTCTCTTTCCTCTTCATCATCCTTTTGTGAGCAGGGACTGTTTTTGAAAGTGCTTTGTTGGTGCATTTGTGGTACTTCATGGTCATCTGCTAAACATCTGAACACTTTTTTTGTTGGCTTTTTGGCTTGCATTTAAAAAAATCCATCGCCTGTTAAAGAAATGCATCCACCAAATCATCAATCTTGACTGTCTGAGGACTGACCGGGTGGTGGAAGGAAAACACATGGAGGCCAGAATAATCTTTACCCAGTGTCATTTTTATTTAAAGTTTTTATAGAACCAATAAGCAGTTCAGGCTGGTTTTGGTGAGGCTGTGAATACACAAATAAACAAAAGCTTTTCCCAAAGAACATAAGATCCAGAAGTCAACAAAAGAAAAGTTAGGCTCATGGCCATTGGGCAGCGAATGGCAAACTTCCAGCAGGGCAAAATGTAGCAAAACCTTTATTTAAACAGAAAGGGTGGTGTGCTGGGCACCCTGTTGTTTTCCATAGGTGCACTGCCTTTTTAAAACTGCTGTGTTTAGTTCATTTTAATTAGAAGGGCCTTTATTGGCATTGAAAACAAACATTTACATTGCTAAAGCAGGTGTTAAATAAAAACAAAAAATGTATGATCTACCAGAATCAGGTTTATATACAAGTTGCTGCTGGTTGCTTGGGTAACACCTCCCACCAAACCAGAGAAAGCATACCTCAAAGCCCATTGCACATTGTTTAGAGGAAACATGTCATTCAACCTGGAAACCGTTTTAAGATTGAACGTGCCCCAGGTCTGCACCTGAACCAAACCAACTTCAGCTCCAACACTGAACTCCCCTTCAGAAGATTCTACCTCTTGCTTTAAAACAGGGTGACAAACCAAAGTTAACCCATAATCATCTAAGACAATAAAATAACATTTCTAGGCAAAAACTACAAAATAATTTCTAAATCATTCTTCTGGCTGCCGTCACACAGAAATAATTACAACATATATATACTGTATTTTTAGGGTACTTAAAATACACTGTTCCCTGAAACAATGAAGAATGTATCTGGCCAGTGTAAACCTACTCTCACAAGGCACAGGTTAGTACTTTCCATGAATGCAACACAAAGTTTGCACACAAACACGCACAAACATGATTTTTCTTTAACCCCACCTACAAAAAGTGGGGATTTAAAAGTTTACTGTAATGGATTACAGTGATCTCAAGCAAGTTTCCAAGTCTCTGCAAACTGATCTACTTACTATACTGGAATAAACCAAAACCTGTGGCTGCTTAGAGGGTAGAAACAAAACCATGGTAAATAAGATTTGGTCTAAGGCAGCGCAGAGTAATTCCTCTTGTTCTCTTCATTATAATTCAGTTTACAATTTCATGCCAAATTTAAATTTCTCATAGACCTTATTTTCAGTTTTAACAGTATTTTACACAAAAGAATAGCAAACATGCTGTGGAAGAGCATGCACTTGTGAAGTCAGAAGGTCTTTTAAAAAGCAGCTTGACTCCGATATATTTTGCAGACTAAGGCTATGCTAAGGGAACAAAAAATAAAGGAAGGTCTTGCTGCAAACTAAAACACTAAGCTCCTCTTTTTATTAACATTTTCTGGATGCAAACTTGCCTAGTGTTTATCTGAGACCTCTGTTTTCTGTTGCAGCTGTGAGGTGAGACCTGGCCCAGAGTTCCTGACGCGCTCCTACAGTTTCTACCCCAACAACACCTTCCAGGCTCACCAGTTCTACTACGAGGACAACCACTGCACCAAACCCACCTACACTCTGGTCATCCGGGGTCGTCTGCGCCTACGCCAGGCCTCCTGGATCATCCGCGGCGGCACAGAGGCGGAGTACCACCTCCACCGCGTCCAGATGGTTTGTCACACAGCCACCGTGGCCAAGGAGCTCAGCCAGAGGCTCAACCGCAGCTGCAGAGGGGCCGTGAAGGGCCCCTGGGAGCCCAGTGTGCTCTACGAGCTGTGGAGCGAGGAGGGTGGCTACAACTGCTCCAGGGAGCTTAATTTTGCCATGCACGAGCTGCAGCTGCTGAGGGTGGAGAAGCAGTACCTGCATCATAACCTGGATCACCTGGTGGAGGAGCTGTTTCTAGGAGACATCCACACCGACCCGTCCCAACGGCTGTACTACAAACCATCCAGCTACCAGACCGCCCTGCAAAATGCCAAGGTAAGCCCCTAATGATCGTGTCTCAGTTAGGCTAGTTCAGAGGGATGAGGGGGAACAATGTTGTTTATTCAGAGCTGCTATAATTCTGTAGATTTCTCCACCCAAGGGATCACAAGATATTTGTAAGGGGTCGTGAGGTGATAAACAGAATTCTGTATCACAAAAGTATGTTTGTTGTTGAAACATTACAACATCTTTTTCAAGAAATCCATCTTTCAAGTGTCCAGTTGTTTCTTAAGACATCACGCTGCTGATATTTTGGTAAAGTTAATCTAATCAATATACAATGGTCAAGTAACGTTTGCCCTTTTTTTTCTTTTGGACTTTCCTGATCTTCTGTCTGGTTGTCTGTTGATGAGTCCACCATTTTGGAACATTCATGTTTCTCAGACAGTGTAACACACTGTAACACACTGATGTGCTAATTAGCCAATGTTAGCCTGCTAACATGTTAACTACGATGGTGAACATGGTAAAAATTATTTTTGTTCAGCATTAGCATGTTAGCATAGTCATTGTGGACATGTTAGCATGCTTGCCTCTGCATTTAGCTCAAATACATGACTGTAGACTTTTTGTTTCTTGTTAAATACTAGACTTGCACATCTTTAGGCCTCCAAAAACTGCTCATATGAAACAGTCCGCGAATGTTTCCTTGCAATGGGCAGCACAGTGGTGTAGTGGTTAACACTGTCGCCCCATGTTCTCCCCGTGTCAGCGTTTCTCCGGGCACTCCGGCTTCCTCCCACAGTCCAAAGACATACAGGTTAATTGGTGACTCTAAATTGCCTGTAGGTGTGAATGTGAGTGTGAATGGTTGTCTGTCTCTATGTGTCAGCCCTGCGATAGTCTGGTGACCTGTCCAGGGTGTACCCTGCCTCTCGCCCAATGTCAGCTGGGATAAGTCCCCCCGCAGCCCTCAAGGATAAACTGTTACGAAAATGGATGGATGGATGGATGGATGGATGGATAGTGGTGTTATTTTCTGAACACACCAGATTGTTTTAGCTATTCTTTTATTTGCCTTTTACTTCATCTTTACATTACTCTCACTATACAAGTATTTTTGTAAAAGTACCAATAGGCATTTGGTTAAAAATACCGTGATATTTGATTTTCTCCATATCGCCCACCCCTAATGCCAGTATTATCAATATTAATATTCATCATACTGTTAATTTGTTGAAGTCTACACACAGACTTACCAGTAGTAGTCGCTTGTGCAGCAACCAGTGTGAGAACTCTTCCCGTCCACTGTCTTTTGTGTTTTTTGGAATGCACGGCCGAGCCGGAGGTAGAGTTTTGTTTTCTGTCCTGAGCACGCAGCTCGGTGGAGAACCTCTGCTGCACTCAACTCCCACTGTGTCGACCCTCCGCACCGCAAAGACCACACACACCATAGAGAGCACGAGCTGACCTTAAGAACAGTGTTCTTTTATGAGAGTTTATCTTAAGCGTAGCCTATGCAGGGCTGTGAGGAAACCTGGGGAAAACGGTATTTGAAAGTAACTCTTTACGTCTTGTTTGAGTGGTGGACTTATCAGTACGAATTTTCTGCAGCAGTAAACTCCACCTGTCTGCAGCAACAAACCGCCCTCTAAGACTTACTCAAATACTGTTTAATCCAAATCTGATTTAGGATCAGCGTGTATGTCAACAATCTTGCCCTTCTACACTAAACATTTGCACTGGTAGAAACCAGAAACTATGGCCATACTGACTTCATCTCCTAAATCTACCGTCAAGAAAGAGCCCTTTCTTTCCTCTGCTGTGCTTAGGGGATGTAATTTCTCTATTTACACTGCTGAACAGCAGTTTCCCCGCTGGGTGAAACCCTAGAGTGATGTTTTCACTGTCACCCTCTACAGAGATTACAATGAAATCCTGTTCAGGTCCGCTGTCTAAATAAACATCCATTTGTACGGGGATGATGGGGGCTTGGTGTTGCTGATCAGAATGTAAACACAGTGTGGAGTGAGGATCTGTGATCAGACGAGCTCCCCTGTGGTGCTGTAATGACCAGAGCTGCTCTCTTTAAGCCCCTCTGGCCCACAGAGGCGCAATGTGAAACCCAGCCTATCTCTGGGAGCGATCAACATGTGGTATTCCTAGAATTTGGAATCATGCGGCCATATGAATTATTCCAGTGAGCACATACCAGGTCTGATTTCATGCATGCCTGAGGCTCAAATCAAAGTGTTGCATGTGCTCTATTTCGCCTCAGTCTTTCCTGAATGAAAAGGAAGGTGGGGTGTGATTCACTTTCAGATGCACTTCCAAAGAGTTTTAACATAATTACAGCACTGCCTTAAAGGGTCAGTTCACCAAAATTACAAATGAACATATTGCCTCACTTACCTGCAGCAGATATCCATGCAGATAATTTTGTTTTTGCTTGCTAAGGTTTTGAGAGACCTGTTTTACTGCTACCTCCCAAATATAACTAAAGTAAATGGAGATCTGCCTGTGGTGCTAACAGCATTGAACATTACAACATCTTTTTCAAGAAACCCATCTTTCAAGTGTCCAGTTGTTTCTTAAGACATCATGCTGCAGATATTTTGGTAAAGTTAATCTAATCAATATACAATGGTCAAGTAACTTTTGCCCTTTTACACAGAGATCATGCAATAGAGCTGCAACAAAGTCCTTTTATTACGCTGGCTCTTTGGGGTTTTTTTTTTACACAGAAACAACGCTGGCATCATGCCACGGCAGTGTGTTATTTTAGATAGCATGCCGGCATTCCAGAAGCAAAAGAGGTGTGAACAGGTTGTCGTGTAACACAACAGCATTGGCCTCTCGTGTGACATTTCACATACTTGTTGGCAGCACGTTCTAAACAATAACAATATCCTAACATCGCAATAACATTTACTGTCTCTGTTATACAGCTGATCTTGTCCTCTGCTTTGAGGGTAATGAACTCCCGGACCTCACTGTCTTCCCAATTTGCAGACATTAATGGTTGCTGTTCTTCCTCTGAGTTAGCTACTAACTGCTGTCAGCTGCCTTTTAAATCTCCCAACGATGGGTCACACACGTAACGCGTCCTGCTGGCTGTCCTTTTTACACAGACGTTGATTCTATTGAGACAACTCTGTCCCCCAATTCCACATTGTTACCTTTTATACAGAATGGCGAGGCAAAAAACAGCATGTTTCTCTCAGCTCTAAGGAGCGTTTTATTGTCTTTCAGCTTTTTGTTTTGGGTTTACAGCCAGCAATCTTACAGCCTTAATTTACTCTCAACTTTGTCTCAAGCAGCTGCTTTCACCAAAAAAATTCAGCTGCATGTTAAGTGCCTGGCAGCAGACAGACACAGTCAGAAACTACCTGGTGAACATAGAGGAGCATTTACTGTAGCAGCTACAGAGCCAGATATTTCCCATAGGAGTTGGTGGATACTAGAACAGAGCTACAAGGAGGGTGAATACTGGTTTAGTATTGCTCCCTTAGACCTGTGAACACTTTGATGTGTAAAATCAGTTCCCCTTTAAGTTCATCAAGTGGCCAGAAACACAACTCAAAGGGAATGCTATAATTATTTTATGTCAACCAAATGTGTAAATAGGCAACCGTTTGCTAACATTAGCTTAAAATCTATTTATTTAGCATTTTGAGCAACTTAAGTGAAATTAAAGTGACCTCCATTTTTAATTGTTGGAGGCAGAAATCTCTGAACCAGTTTTATAAAAATCTCAGCACATAGACCCAAAATTATCTGCTTGGCTAGATCCCTGTAGAGGTAAGTGAGGAAATACTTTATTGTAATTCACTCAGGAACACTTTAGTCAAAGAAAACTTTCTATTTCCATTTGCAGTATTATATTTGGCTGTATGGCTCTGTCCTGGGGCCTCTCTGCCTTTCCCCGGGCCTACACAGAAAACTTAAGGTGGAGGGAGCACACGTCTCTGCCCTACCACACGTAGACTCCATGCGCCTACATGGAAAGCCTAAGGCAGGGAGAGCAGCAGCAAAGACCCCCCAGGAACAGAAGAGAGCAGCATCAGTGACAAACAGAAATGACACTGATAAGTCAGACACAGCATGAAAAGGAGGTGGGTTGCAAAGCAGCTTGCAGAGGAAGCAGCAACAGTAGACGTACCAGAGCAGTTTAAATAGGGCACCCTGAATGAGATTGGCCAGTTGGTTGCATAGAAAGGAATCATATGATCTATCAGCTGCTCCATTAGTTGATTGGCTATTTGAGATCAGCTGATGTGGCTGGGATGTGAGCTGAACTTGACATTGTGTCCTGCCTGAACTAACGCTATGCTCAATTTTGGGTCAACTGACTCTTTAAATGTCCAGTTTGTAGGACTGTTTGGTGGCATCTAGCGATGAGGTTGAAGAACTAAAACCTCTCCCATGTCCCAAGTGTTTTAGGAGAACTAAGGTGCCCAACCTGAAAGCGCAAATGGCCCTATCTAGAGCCAGTGTTTGATTTGTCTGTTCTGGGCTCCTGTAGAACAACATGGCATACTCTGTGAGAGAGGGCTCACTACATATGTAGATATAAATGGCTCATTCTGTAAGAACATAAACACAACAAATCTTAGTTTCAGGTGATTTCAAACTAATGAAATCATTATGATGAATGTTATATTCAATTTTTGCCAATAGATGCCCCTAAATCCTACATGCTGGACCTTTAAATTTGGTGTTATACTTCTACTATAATACAAGGCTGAATTATAAGCATTTTTTGAACATCACAACTAATTTAATAGCTTTGGTCAATTTTGGGCCCCATTGGTCACCAGCTATGCACATACAGTCAATTAGGTTTTATATTCTATACTTTTCTGGTGGAACGGTGATAGAAAATACTTCACTCCTTTTCTACACAAAAAGCACTAAATCCGACCATCTCTTGAGGTTGTAATGGTTTCTTTTCAGGGAGTTTTTTATTACCATGGTGACTATCCAATCCATTAATCTTGAGCGGTGTACCCAGAGCTGGTCCCAGTCCAGAACATTTGCTGGTGCCAACATGT